GGGGGGGGGGAGAGGCTGGGGGCCCAAACTCCTGGGGTCTGTCCCAGTTCAGGGAGGTTAGAATGGGGGGTTCTGGCCCAGTCTGCCACGAACCCCTTCCCCCACCTGTCAACTGGGCGTGCGCCTCTGAGAAGCCCTTAGAGTTCCCCTGCATGTTACGGTTTCATTCTGTGCTTGGGCCGGGGGGGTCTACGCCAGGTTGGGGGGGGGAGAGGCTGGGGGCCCAAACTCCTGGGGTCTGTCCCAGTTCAGGGAGGTTAGAATGGGGGGTTCTGGCCCAGTCTGCCACGAACCCCTTCCCCCACCTGTCAACTGGGCGTGCGCCTCTGAGAAGCCCTTAGAGTTCCCCTGCATGTTACGGTTTCATTCTGTGCTTGGGCCGGGGGGGTCTACGCCAGGTTTCCTTGGTGGCAGATCTAGGATCCAGCAGAATCTCATCTCTGTGTCTCCTGCTCGTAGTTTAAGGGCTAATGGTCTGTGCAGTGGCTGTCTACATCTCTTTGCCTTTTATTTTCCAGATCTTTCTTACACCAGAGTCCTCATCGCTGGTCTGAAGAACTTTGTGATTCCCCAGAATTATGACAGTGAGTACCAGGCATGGAGAATTTCCAACATAGAAGGGTAGCAATGGGTGTCTTGTAATGTTGGATGCATTTGTCGTCTACCTTGGAAATGTGTTGGGGGAAGATGTTGAGTCCCTGTAAGGGGCTGGAGGGGGTAGGTAAGGGAAGAACATTATAGAAAGCATATTACTATTTTTTTGCAATGTGATGGGGTATTGACCAAGCACGTTGTCCTAATCTCTTGGGGGAGCATGGGTTATTTGTGTGGCATATTACTGATCTCACTATGGGGAGTGGAGAGGTAAATAGGAGCCCCATATTCTGAATCATCTGCCCTAAAAGAAAGCATTAGTGACAGTGTGAGAATTGGTAGTATTATTGCTAGTTTGAAGAGAGAACTTCTTGAACAGAGTCCTGAACAAAGCTGCCTTTTTGCCTTAGAGAAGGCAATGTTCTCAGCCCACAATAGAGCCAATATCTCCCTTTGCTTAGTGTAATATAAGCTGAGAGATGTATAGGCTCAGAGACCTGGGTACAGTTTCAGAAGCTCATTGAGGAAAACTGGCTGATGATTCCTGACTGCCAGTTCCATGTTTGCATCCTTTTGCTACAGAGCTGCCTGAGTGGAAAAAGTGGAAGTGCTTAAGACTGAGATCCCTTTCTTTTTTCATCCTTCCAGATATCTCCATCCCTGAGAGACCCAAACTGAAGTTCATAGACAAAGTTCCAAGTGTACCTAAAGTAAGGCGGGAATTCAAGAACCTACGAGACATCCGTGGCCCATCCACAGAGGCCACTGATTTCACCGAGGGACAGTATGGCATTTTGGTGAGTGGTAGATGCACGCTGGGACATCTTTGGTCTGAATCTTTCACCCAGAGCAAGGAAAAACAGAACCCCATGAGCTGACGCCCGGAGGGATTATGGAAGTGATATGAGCACTGTAAATGGGTTTCAGAAGCCTCTTTGTCTATATCTGAGTCATAATTCCTCCCCTGCTTGCTTTCCTCTCTCTTTGCAGGCATTGGGCGGGGGTTACCTCCACTGGGGTCACTTTGAAATGATACGCCTAACTATCAACCGTCACCTGGATCCCAAGATCATGTTCGCAGTATGGCGTGTCCCAGCCCCTTACAAGCCTATCACTCGCAAGAGCCTAGGCCATCGTATGGGTGGGGGAAAAGGTGCCATTGACCACTATGTGACAGCAGTGAAATGTGGCCGCCTCATTTTGGAAGTGGGTGGGCATTGTGAGTTTGGGGAGGTGGAGCACTTCCTCACACAAGTGGCCAAGAAGCTGCCATTCCCAGCCAAGGCAGTCAGCCGCCAGTCCCTGGAGGAGATGCGGCAGGCAGAAGAGGAGAGAAGACGCAACAACCAAAATCCATGGACTTTTGAACGTATTATCACCTCCAACATGCTGGGAATCCGCAAGGTGCTGAGCCCCTATGACCTGGCACAGAGGGGGCGATACTGGGGCAAGTTCTTTCTGCAAGACAGAGTGTAATGACTAAGTGGGAGTAGGAGGGGGAAAAAATCTCAGGGCCTTCCCTGACCTGTGAGAAATGCAACTACTGTGGGACACAACCTTGATCTTCCTTCTGCAGCACCTGTAAGGCCTCTGCTGGTTACAGCCCATCTTGCATGGCAAAATCTCCACAAGGGGGCAGTGAAGTTGAAATCTGCCCCTCAGCTTTAAACGTAGCTAAGCTATGTGCAGTAATGATGGAGGTGTGAAGAGCAGGCTCCAGTAATCAGTGATTATTTTGGATTAATAAACTTTTCCTACAGTAACACTTTGTGGCTGTGTCCCTATGCCCTCTTTATGTTGGAGGTCAACAGCAATGTTTTCTTTAATTTTTTTTTCCATCCACAGGTTGAATAAATGTTATGCATGACAAATGATGCATGTGCAGATATGCACCACTAGTAGAAACATGCTGTCAGCTGTGGGCACTTGGAATCTTTCCTGGGTGGCTATTAAAGCACTCAGCTTACAGGGAACATACGCCAGAGGGGTGAAGAGTATTGTTGAATGGCCAGGCAGGGTATCAGTCTGTCAGGTATTAAGTTAGAACAGTGGTTTCCAACCAGTAGATTGGGATCTCCAGGTAAACCTTGGAGCCTCTGACAGGTGAGTCTGACTGATTTGGCCTAGAGGCTGTCAAGTGCAGGCACTTCAAGTGCCCTGCCCCCCACTGCTACTCATCTCCTGCCCTTGGGAGCTTTCTGGGGAGGAAGAGGAAGGGTGCTGGTGTCAGAGTTCCCCCTCTCCCACCCTGTATCCTTTTTCTACAGAGTGGGGACAACAGGACTTGGAGGGAGTTTGCTGGCTGCTTCAGGGAGTGGGCCAGGGCAGAAGTGATGCTGCTTTAGCCCTATTGCACTACCAGCAGTGCCCACATCTCCACTCCTATGCCAGTCATAAACCCCAGCACCCTTGCATCCAAATGTGATTCCTGAGCCTGGACCTAGACTCCCTCTCCTCCCCCGAATCCCAACTGCCTGCCTGCCCTAACAGCAGCTCAGACCCTTTGTCATTCCAGGTCCCTCAATCCAAGACCAGAGCCTTCCCTCCAACCTTCTGCCCCAGCCTGATGATGGGTAAGAGAGGGAGGATGGAGTGAGATGGGGCAGGGCCTCGGAGAAGGGGCAGGGGTATTTATATGAGGTAGATCTTGGATTGCACTTACATTCAAGAACTGATCTCATGCTCAAAAAGGTCAGAGACCCTTGGGTTAGAGCCTGTGGTGGTGTTCTGATTAAGTCAGAGAGATTAGACACCCCTCCCCCCAAGGGCAGGCCCATCCCATGGGACCATGTGAACTTAAGGTATGCAACTCCACCTATGTGAATAACATAGCTGGAGACAATGTACCTTAGTTTTTCCTGTCCCTTCCTGTGCTGTAGCTTGACCTATCACCTCCCCTTATGCTTGTTCTGGTGGAGTACTGGTGGCTGAGAAAGCACTCTGATTAAGTTAGCAGGTGGTTACCAGACTTGCTAAAATCAGCCTCTGGGGATCAATTGCCCCAGTACTAGTCTCACAGTAAGGGTAGGTCTGCTAGAAACTGTATTGTTGAAGTTAAGGGACCTCACCCCACCCAAGATGACATCCTCCCAAATGCCACCAGCAGCCTGCTACATATTGAATACAGTGGTCACAGTACAATGGTCACTGCACTGACCTCTTTATTTAGGAGGCAACTTTAGTGCAGATTGTGTCTTTTGAACAGTAACTATACAGATAAGTTAGATACAAGTTCTGGGCACAAGGGGGTTCTCCTTAAGCACTGAGACAGAGTCCTCTGCTCCACTCCTGTGTTCCCCTCCATGGCAACACATCTCATTTACCTTCTCTGTAAAAGGAGAGGTTATAATATTTCATGAAGGAATCCCTCTTTCTGAAGAACTTCTCACTAGCCAGTAGCTCATGTACACTAAATGCAAGGGAGTAAGAGTAAAAGCAATTTTTGTCTGCCCAGATGAAAAAAAGCATAAGAGCCATAGAAGCAGCTGGGTATTTACAGATTTACAGCATCCAAGTCATTCCTCCCTCCTTCAGAGAGGATACGTATATAGTGTATAAAGGGAGTAGGGAAAAACAAATACACTTAAATGCACAAAGTAAGTGCCAAATTTTCAGGTGAGATTTCTGTAGGGTGAAGGAAGCCATCCTACATATAAACAAGGAAATAGACTATTTTGTGCCTAGGAGACCCTAGCTGAGTGAGTGGGAGGCAAAAGACAGGAAGGCCTATCAGTCATTCAGGTCAAATAAGTTCTGATTCCCACCATCACCAGGAGGAGTGAACAAGGAAAGAGCCAGAGAAATAGGTGTCACAGGGATCAGAGTGAAAACAGCGATGTTGCTCAGCTAGGAGAAAGACCGCTTGATGGTTCAGGGCCTTGATCATGCTTCTGCTGCACTGAGCTACAGCCAGCAGATGCTGTCTTGAATCCCTGTCCACTGAGGAGAACTGAGCCCCCAGGGCAACACAGGCAGGACTGTGCCATTCCCCACCCTTCAGCAAGTTTGTGCTGGGTGTAATGCAGCCCGTTGAATGGATGTCCTCTGCAAGAGTCTCTACTCACACACGTGGGCAGGAACCACTAGGACTAAAAACAGCCAAACTAAAAGGCTGATACTTAGAAGTACTTTAAAAACACAGCAAACAAACATGGAGTCTGAAAATGGTTACACCAGAAGATGAACATCCCTCTTAGTATCAGCCAGCATCATCCATGAGGTGTCCTGTTTGGTTCAGTCTTTGTGACCCATCCTCTTTGTTCTATTCTGGGTTAGGATAGCGCCTTGGTTTGAGCATTAGCCTGCTAAACCCAGCGTTGTGAGTTCAATCCTTGAGGGGGCCCTTTAGGGATCTGGGGCAAATCTGTAAGGGATGGTACTTGGTCCTGCTGTGAGGGCAGGGGACTGAACTCGATGACCTCTCAAGGTCCATTCCAGTTCTATGAGATGGTATCTCTCCATATATTATATTATTCCTCTGCCCTTCCAGCCAAGAACATTCTGAGTGGTGAATAGCTGGCAGGTAGGGTCCACTGCCTACACCTGTGTCTTCCCCATAACCAGGAGGAGGTAGATCTGGTGAGAAATCCAGGTGGGAAAGTACATTTGAAGGGTGGCACCAGGGTAAGGAGTGGGAGAACGGTGAAAGGCCATCTGCAAATCCATCTGAAAAAAAAAAAAGTATAAATGGATCCTGCAGTCCCATCCACAACACATGCAGGCCCCTTTGCTGTCAGTAACCTACCATCCCAACTGGGACCTTTGACCATCCCTTAGGCTTGCTAGTGATGTTTCAGAATTGCACTCCTGCTCACTTCTCAATCTTCCTATTCTCCTCATGGGGCCAGAGCGCCCCCTGCTGCTCCCATCTGACATAGCACCCGCTGATCATTGTGGCATGTGAGATATGCCCCAGAACATTTAACAGTTGCATTCTGCAGCGCTGCAGCTAGACACCTAGCAGATTTACTATGTAGATCACTTTCCCCATCCAGAATAAGGGCACGGAACAATCACATCACAGAGAAATCACCCCAAAAAGCACAAATATTGACTGAGCCAAACTCAGCTGCTACTTGCAGACCCATCACATCGTGACACCTGGCTCACCTGTGATAGGTGGGGGCCGGAGATGGGCACTCAGGCAAAGATGCCCCCAATAGTGGAAGCCAGGATGATGACAAGGATGATACAACAGATCATGATCATAATCTTCTTCTGTTTGGCAAGAGAAAGAAATGTAAACAACCCAGTCCATGAAGTGAGCTTACAGCCAACTATAAAAAGGGTCACCTGTCCTTTGTGTGTGTGTCTCAGAGCAAAGGAAGGAGATCCATAGCATGGGCCGGAAAAAAAGGACAGGGATCAGTGAGTAGTAGGATGGAGCCGTAGCGGGAGGGAGTTAGGCTTTTCTTTCACAGAGGACAGGAAATGTTTTCTCTTTGATGCTGGTGGCCTGCACAGGAAATTATGGTTCGGTGACCTCATTTCCTCTTTCCCCCAACTCACATGCCAAAAAAACCAAAAATCCAAGATCCAGTTGTGCTGAGATGTGATACAGGGGCCCCACAAATAGCTAGACAGAAAGGAACTAGCCTGCCCTGCATGTACAGCCATGCAGAATGTCACACCCCCAAGGAAAAGGCAACACGTGCTCCGAACGTCCGCTTTCTTACCAGAGGCACTGGATACCGCACAGCAGCAGAGGAGAAACCCCGACCAAGTTTTCTGATCCAGGTGCTGTGCTGAGATGTGATACAGGGGCCCCACAAATAGCTAGACAGAAAGGAACTAGCCTGCCCTGCATGTACAGCCATGCAGAATGTCACACCCCCAAGGAAAAGGCAACACGTGCTCCGAACGTCCGCTTTCTTACCAGAGGCACTGGATACCGCACAGCAGCAGAGGAGAAACCCCGACCAAGTTTTCTGATCCAGGTGGGTGTAGCGGAGAGGAGAGGCCCTTCTGGGGACTTGGAACAACAGGCTGGCTTGAGTGAGTGGAGTGGAACCAGCTGGCATGGAGATTATAAACAGAACTCCTTCCTCTCTGCCACCAAACCTGATCACTTCTGCTATTCTGAAAGAGGAGCTGTCTCTTTAAATGTCAGTGTCAAGTGAAAGCAGTTCTCAGCTCAGTGCAGGAGGCTCCAAGTCCCAGTCTCATCTCCCTGTCCCTGGTGCCATCGTTCACCCTCTGTCAGGCAGGGCATCATATGCCTTTCCCCACCTGTTTCTTTACTCAGCCTTGCCTCTCACCATGGGATGGCTAATTGGGGCAGGACTACAGCTGAGCCGCATGACAGATCCCAGCCAAGAGGATTCTGAACTAGTGTTTGCATGGAGCAGCCTCTTCACACCTGGACTTGGGCCCTATGCCATGCATTGAGCAGCACAAGCTGCATTACTGGTGTGCCAGAGAGAACCACAGTCTGTTGCCTGGCAATCCAGCTAATCATGTCTCCTTTATACTGGGAGGAAGGTTGCTTAGTGGCTAGAGCACTAGACTGGGACTGGTGTCCTAGGATCTATTCCGAATTCAGCCCCGGGGCAACCACTTCTGGCCCTGCCTCAATTTCCCCTTCTGTAGGATGTGGGTAGGGATACTGAACTTGCTTCAGGTACATCTACACCGCATGCTTATTCTGAAATAGTTATTGCGAAATAGCTTATTTGGAAATAGCACATCCACACTGCAGAGACCCCTCAAAATTAGTCCCAGGCAGCATGTCTATACTAGGGAGCTGCTCTCAATTTAGAGCCCCAGGAGGCACTGGGGAGGAACAACTTAGAATGGCCCTAGTGAGGGGCTATTTCGAAAAAGCATCAATGGAATGTCTAGACGTGCCGCATTTCGAAATGGGCGTTATTCCTCGTAGAATGAGGTTTACAGATTTCAGAATAAGTCGTCTGTTATTTCCAAATTACTTCAAAATAACAGAATGGCTGTGTAGATGGTCACACTGAACTAGCTTTTATCCTCCATAAGTCTACACAGAATTGTTATTTCGAGATACTAGCATTATTTCGAAACAAAGTTCTGCCCTTCATTCTAGCCAAGTTCTGTCTCTACCATGAGCCAAGGAGAGAGCACAGCTGCCTCACCCCAGACCAAAAGCAGCTTAGGTGTCTATAGCTAGATGTTGCGTTCAGGCAAGGCCGGCTCACACAGGGAAAACGACAGAGGCGAGAGGCTGTGTGTGATCAAATACAAATTCATTTATTTACTTTTTTAAATTAAAAATAAATCAAAGTTATAAAAAGCAACCTGGCACACAAGCCAATACCTTTGCTTGGGAAGACCAGGACGTTACCCCGTCTCTAGAACCTTGGGGAGTTTCAGGAACACCCTGCAGCTGCAACAGCAACCTTACCCTGGCAGCAGGCTCCATACCCACCCCTAGAAAAGTCACAGACATCAAGACCTAGAGAAGAGGCAGACAAATGGGAGCTCTCTCCCAGCTCCGTCTGTGCACCAAGGGGCACTGGCTAAGTGCAGTCGTACATCAGGATAATGGGAAATCAAGCTAGTGAGTGCTTAGTGGGTAGGAGATGTGCAGCCCCTAGCGCACCAGGAAGGATGGCGGGGGTGGAAGGGTGCACCTGGACCAGCCAGATGCTGCTAGGAAGTTTAGCCAACTTCATGATAGGAATCTCCCCCTCCTGACTACCAAGGACTGTCATCCCCTTATCCTTCTCCAACAGGGGGAGAGAACGTGTCAAGTGGATTTAGTGCAACCCTTGCGGCCTCTATTTATCAGACCAGGTGCAAACTGAGTAGACTCCCCCCACCATTCTGCCTTCAGAAGATCACCACAAAAATAACTGCCATTGATTCAGTCCTTAGCTTCTCTACCGTCACTGCCAAGCACAGAGCTGAATTAGTAGGATGGCATTTCTGCCATGGAAAGAGCTACCTACTGGGAACCAAGCCCAAGACCTCAACCCCTCCTTTCCTACAGAGGCCACCAAATGATGGTCCTACAGCGACAGCTGGTCATGTGGGTTTGGGTGTGATCCACCCAAGCTGCGTCACACCCAAACCCACATCATACCAGTAAAAACAGGCCACCCTGATTTGTGACAGATGCAGACAGTCAGGGACTGGCTGCTAAGAATAAATACACACAAGGACTCCTGATCCAGGCACATTTAAAACATTCATGGAAACTCAACAAGTCCTGAGTATACAGAACACACACACACACACACACACACACACACACACACACACTAAAATTATATCCCCAGGAGGGGTGGGCAGTTATACCTGCTGGTCCCACAACCCAAGGAGAACCCCTCTCTTCAACAAGGATCAGATGAGGTCAGTGCTCAGATTCATGCTTGCTATTTAACAGAATACGTCACCCACCCTGCAGTTTTCCAGGAGACCTCAGCCCTGCAAATCAGAGCCCAGGGTTAGAGTTGGGTGCAGGAACCAACCTGACAGTTTTTGCTGCTTAGAACAAACAAGTAGGTCACAGAGGTTCACGCTTCAAAGCAAACAGCTTTAAATTCCTCCCAGTTCTTCCACCGGGATCGCAGAGACAGGGCTTGCAGGCCCCTCCTTCTGCACACAGGCACCCGTCCGGTCAGGTACGGAGGAACAAGAAATGTGGCCCATGCTTGGCTGAGCTCTTGCTGGGAGTCCTGCCGAATGCATCCCGGTGCTTAGCTGTAGACCCACGTTTCAATGCCAGCCCCAGCCTCTAAGAGCATCGAGGACAGCGCTGCATGCCCTGCTCCGCTTCGGATCCAGTCCTAATTCTGGGGTTGGCAAGGTGGAGGATGCTGCTAAGTCTGTGTCTGTTGGTTTGACCCCCGTCCCTTGCTAATCCTGGTGGCAATGCAATGCCTCGGGAGCCGATTCCGGTGCTACACAAGACTCAGCATCCAGGCCCTGAAGAGCTGCAGAGACCAGCCTCAGTTAGTGTCCAATATGCCACACAGCTGATACAGGTGAGCTCCCAAGCCCTGAGCTCCCTGTCCTAGCCAGTACCATTTGGAGGGGTAGTTCTTACATCCCCTGGCCTCCTCCAGTGAAGATTGTGAACTGTTAAAAAAAATATCTCCCCCAAAGAGATGAGAATGAGACAGGCCAGTGAGGTAGGAAACAGTCCTGGGCATTCCCTTAGGTCTCTGCTACCAGTGGTGGGAATCCCACCAGGAAATGAGATCCGACCAAAACAGGAAGCAACATTGGGCGGGGGTGACTTGGTGGCAGCTTCTCTGAAGTGCATCAGTGGTGCAGGACACAGTTACCATCTGGAGAAGGCGAAGCAAGCTCAGATCCTCCAGGAGGGATGCGTCAACTAGCTGATGAACGGGCAGAAGGGAAGAGCTCCACCCTAAAGGGAAATTATTCACAGCAGAGCCCAGAGAGCAGGCCGGGATTAGCAGGTCCAGGAAAGGCAGGGGGAACAGGAACTCGGCGTGTGGGGCACGAGGAGGACCACAAGGGAAAAAGCTCACCACCAACCCAGGAGGAAGATCAGGAGTGTCTGGAGAAACTAAAGGAAGAGGGGAGAAATCAGTTGACACTGAAAAGCAGCTAGAAGGGTAAAATTAAACATGGATCTCTACCCTTAATAGATCCTGGGCCCAGGTAAAGATGGGGAAAACTACCCTTGCAGATGGGGGCAATAAGCTAGCTGGGGGGGGAGCTCAGAAAATAGCCAGCACACGCACCCATATGCTGCTGCTACCTTGTGCTCCAGAGTCTCAGCTTCCACTCAAAAGGTGAGCATCTCGCTCTGCTGCTTGTACAGGAAGCCTCACAACCATGACTGGAGTGAGGGGAGGGAGCCTGGAGCAACTTAGAGAAGCGTGTGAACTGCCCT